GTCCGTGAGCCTGCCTAAAGGTGATGAATTCTTTCCCTCCCGACAGGTGTACTGGGTGGGACCCGCACTCGGGGGTCTCCTGGCAGCCTTCACCCACAGTACACAGGCAACAAGGACCCGGACGCCCTCCCGACGCCCTATCACCCGCCTGTCCTTCCTCGGGATTCTTCCAGGGCTTCGGATATCACGTCGACCCTGGCATCACCTTGTTGAATCTCCAACTTCCGTCTTCTATTCGGATATTCATTTCATTCTCTCTCTCTCTCTCTTTCTCTTCGTTGAGGTAGTCCCCCTTCTGTTGTGTTCCCTCCCCTTCTTAGCTAAATGGATTCCGTCTCCTCTTCTCCCGTGCTGATGAATGCGTCCTCCCTTTCTCTCGCTGTGTCCCGGTCGCACAAGGCCCTACCTACCTCCTCCTTGAGTGTAACCCTCCTTGCTTAGTGTTCCCCTTCCTCTTCCGCCCACCCTGCTAAGAGAGTCTCTCCCTGCTGCGATGTATCTACCTCCTCGTCTCTCTGAACCCTTGCCAAACTCCCCCTGTCGAGCTGAGCCGCCCGGGCGACTCTGCAGGTAAAGTCGCCAAAGTGGGTAAGATGTTATACACAGGTCACCGAGGACGCAGGTAATCATAGCAACCGCGCGCCTCGTTTGTTTAATCTTTTGTGTCTTATGAATGTATATTGATGAGTACGGTGTGTAAACAATAGAAGTTTTCCGTCAGTTCCATATTCTATATGTATTTTATCCATCCATCATTCACGTTGAAACGAATTATCTATTGGAGAATTATTTAACAAACAAAAAATTATATATATATTTTCTTCTTTGTCTGTTCAATCGTCTTAATCGTCAGAAAATAGTTTTATATAAAATCGACATGCAAATAACACTAAAAAAGGTTAATGAGGTGTCCAGAGATGCTTTACCCCAACTTTAAAAGTACAATGACTTTTAGATAAGAGATCCCAACCGACCAAGTAATATTTCTAAGTCCGTAGTCCGTCCTTTAGCCATGATGACATCTTGTAGACACTAGACGTATAGACTATTTGTAAATGTTTCTCCGTTAATAAAGGGCATTTCTCCTCTTACTTCTTGTTTCATTTTCTCTTATCCCTTCATAGAAAATCAAGGTTTTGATTATCACTGAGATACTGTTTAGTTCAAGCAAGCAAAAAATTAAGAAATAAATGTTGCTAAATATTGTGACCTCCATTGGGAAATTCATCCAGAAAACATTACTTACAAATGGGGTTTCCTGATCTTGCACAAACCAGCATAAGTAAAGGCTCTCGTTGCGATAGATTGTTTCGATTTCACTGTGACCCTTAAGAATGAAAATCAGTGTTTCTACAAAATTTGTGTGACCTTTCAGTTACAGAACCTCCATCAGCACAAGTGTATTCTGTAAGATTAATCACGGAACCATTCGCTGTCAGTCATTGATTTTTCAAAAGATTATCATAATGATCAAAGAACAGTTTGCCTGAGCTTTGAGACATTCATACGTAATGGGCAAGTATAATGTCGAATCCGGAAGTCTCCATCAATTTAAAACTGGAATTATATTTGTCCTGAATAAAGTTTTGTAGCAAGGTACAGTATGTAGTGATAAAATCTTGGTTATGAAGTATTTCGATCCCTTCAAACTCGCATGACCATTTCTAGAAAAGTATGAAGCAAATTCACGAAGGAAACTTGAAATCGTTCATCTGCAATTCTTGCATTTCATCCCTGTTTCACAGAAGATAAAAAGCGTAACCTTCCAGTATAAGAAAAGTCACCGCTCTCTGCCTGTAAATTTGTTTTGTCAAACAATTGGGTGAAAATATCTGGTGCAGGTTTTCATTTTTCTATGTACAGACACTTGCGGATTATGGTTCGCAAGATATGTGAACAAATATCTTTTTTTATTCTTACTGCTTCTATCATGTATTGTTTTCACAAAAATTGAATGAAGATATACACATTCATGTGCTGTGCCTAACCGTGTGATTTTCAGCAACATAAAGTATTGATTAGAACCAGACAAATAATTATGGGAAGATGATTGCAGACCTTTGCTTCCCGCACTACAATGTACATGCAGCCATCGCAGGTGTAGAATCCTTTCAACAAGCACAAGAAAGTGGGGTTTGATCAAGAAATTGTCTGGACATTGTATCTTTGACTTCTCTTTATACAAATTACACAGATCGCCATCTCTATCAGCTTTTTATGGCATATGTTCCTCCCTCTTTAATGTAAAAGAAACAAGTACACCAAAACCATTTTTAGATCACGAGAATTAAAAAAAAAATGCCAGTTGCAGATTGAAGAAACACAAAATGTGAATACATCTATAATCATAACAAGCGTTACCAAAACTGGCTTTCATACTTATGGCTCAATATACTGGTAACCGAGTACATCGATACGAGTAAAAATGAATATCAGCAGCTTTACACCAAGACCAAGTCTATGTAATTGGTAGCGTATACTTTAAACACTTCATAGCACAATCGCTACAAGAGGGGTTACCACTACTACTTCAACAATTAAAAGGTGTTTAGAGAATACGCCACATTTTGAAATCCGTTACCAAAGTTCCAAATCACAAAGCCAACACTCTTAACACACTGAAAAATATTCATGATGGAAAAGAAATACATGCAACTTCATTATGGATCTTGCACTGGTGAAAGATATGCAAGAATGGTTAAAACGTTGCCACAGAGTAATTACCATTCTTCTCTGATGCATTTCTGGAAAAATGAAGTTTAAACAAAAATATACCACTGTACTGCGATTGTGCCATTCAGTATAAGGTTTGGGCGTGGACTATACAGGAAATTCTAGAATATTTAGACAGAAGCTAACTCAGCGTCGTAAGAACTAGAATTGCATTTGTGCGATTTATCTTGTAATACCAGTGAAACTAATCCGACTAATGACTTTCTACCAAGCCAACTTCTGCTAAACATGCGGAACACAAGGAATCCTCAATTCACCAAGCATAATCCATTATCAGACTATCAATATATTATCTGTAATGTTTCTGAGCAAATATCAGTAATAATTCTGTTAATGAAATAAACTGAGCTAATTGCTTTTCCTGTAAAGGATGATTTTTTTTGTCCCCATTGTCTCAAATGTCTTGTTTTTGTTTTTTGAGGGGGGGGGGGGCATGCATTCAATACAAATTCCCCAGGTTTGGTAGACACCAGTCATCTTACTTTTAACTAGCCTAGGGAGAATTTAATTGCTGAAGCAAAACATTTGCAACAGGAAAATCAAAGGGATATTCAGCATTATCATCTTTTAAAATTTTGCCGTGTCAAAACACAGCCAATAGTGGCGTATCCAAAGGGTAATGGGTAATGTTTGAAAGGAATAAAGTGCTAGACATCAAAGTCCACACAACACTTATGGTAATGTATTGTGGCAAAAAGTGGCGAGTCAACGATTAGGATAAAGGGCAATGCTTGGGGTGAAGTCCTCTACAGCAGCATTAAATATTGTGGCACAGACGTGAGAATTAGTTAACAATTAGGCAAAAATATTAGATGTCAAAAGTTATAGAACACTGTAGGTTTGTAGAGCAAACCATGTACAAAGGCCGCTCAGGACTGACAAAGCCAGCCTTTCATCCTTTCAGCACAGCTCAGACTTCGGATGTGGACAGGAGATAGAGAAGGAAAAGGAAAGATGGGGAAGGAAAGACCTAGCCACATTGTTGAGCAATAATTTAGACCCAACTTTTCAATCGTCTACTTATGAAATAAATTGTGTATCGGAATGCCTATAAAATTAATGGTTCCAAAATATACTTGTATTTTGTTATATAAAGGAAGATTAACCACCCAACAGAAGTACACATCTAATATCTTATAACTGACTATCACACACACATGCAAGGATGGCCAGATATTCAACATACTAATTTGTAGTATACATCAGAGCAATGCCATGAGTTTCCCTGGGTTTAAAAAAATTTCTGCCTATACAGTACATCCACAGTCGCTAATAATACTTCCATTTGTTTTGACATTAATGTATTGTAAAATACATTACAACCTCCCAATGCATTATTCAATGAAATGGTCTGCACATTTAAGAAAGTACAAATACAAAATAAACAATTATAATCAAACTATCATACTAGCTTTAAGCAAATGTTTTTTTTACGAGTCCAAGGTAGTGCAGCCGAGCCTGGTCACAAGGGTGCTGCAATCCTGGTTCGAGATGCACATCGAGCAAGGAAAACACAGTTTGAGGTTATACGAGTTAATTAAAAACGAGTCTACCAATGAACGTAGGACATGTCAGAGGTTAGAGTAAATTCTTTTCTATTTCAATAAATCACTATTTGGTGGAAAAATAAAAAAAAATTCATAGCTTTTTTTTCTTTATTTCTACCCATAAACTGTTTACTTCTTGTAACCACAGCTGGACCTTCTTCCACGGGCACGCTCGAACTTGCGCCCTTGCTGCGCACCAGTGGCTTGGTGTGGCTTCCAGGGAGACCAGGAGCACGGCCAAACATCTTGTATGCCTCACGTGCCTTGCGGCGACCTGGATAGAGAAAATTTTCTATGTATATTCTTTTTCTAATGACCTTGTACACTATTTCTACTTTCTTGGGATATTTCAGTGAATTTCACTCCATTAAAAAAATAAAAAAAATGCAAAATATCAACTCAACAGTAATTAATATGCTATGGACTGTATTTATGTTGACAAATATGGATAGGTAAGAATGAGAGCGAATATCTTCACAATACAAGATATATACATCTCTTGTATTGTGAAGATATGCTATTTCCCATGAAGATAAATACAAAATCCACAGACAAGAATTTGTTCCACTCATCACAATATGCATATATTTAGATAAGATATTGATTACTCACCCTGGATGAGGACTGTGTTCTTTCCAAGGGGGGAACGACGAGCAAGAACATCAAAGGTGATGACCTCTCCGCCAGCCTTCTCAATACGGGCGCGGGCACGGGCAGTCACGCGGAGGGCACACACCTGAGGAGTCCAGCAGAAATTATTTCCCTCTATAATCAATTAAGTATTTCATTTAAAGTTTCCAGAAATTTGGAAAATAACTCGCTTAGCACAATGCTTTTATTTCTGCAAAAGACTTTCTAAGCCTGTCAACTAAATATTTTTCTGTTTTGCGCACTCGCAAGAATTCTTTTACGTCCAAAATGAAATGCATCTTGTCTTACATAACTTCAATAAGCAAGTAACAGTACTAATATTACTTCTCATTACAAAGAAAGAAACTGCAAATATAAACAAAGCCCTAAAAATCCTGATACTCAAGGTCAAGTAAAAGAAAAGAAAATCAAGATTTATACTTAAAATCACATTAACTTTCCTAGAGTATCGATCCAAAAAGCTGCAAGACTTATTTTGGTTGTAAAAACAGAGCCAGAGTTAAACTGATCATCATGTTTCCTTGGGCAACATTAACTCTCCAGTGCAAATGGGTGATTGCATTTCTTGTCTCAGAACACATTATTCATTGAATAATTAATAGGATAAAAAAAAAAAAAAAAATCCTATGCTCTGTCTGCTTGTGGGTAGAAGTTTATAGCAAGATGTGCATTAGGGAGAGAATATCTCTGAAAATAGGGAACCACATTGCCTTTGTCAGCAGAAGTGATTCAGGGATACTGAAGTTGTAAATTGTGTAACTCTTTTTTGCTTGAAAAGTATTCTATCAACTAGTAAAGATTTTACAGCTACTGCATATAAAAGGTTGGGACAGTTTTCTCAAGCATCAATGACAACTAGAGGTTTTCTGATTCTTAAGTACATTGTTAGCATTTCTACCTCTATTATACACTTATCAGCCCAGGGGTATAAAAGGTAGTAGCATGTATTAGGGAGAATATTAACAAGAAACTTGCAATTTCTGTAAAAAGTATTACTGCTTCGCTATGAATGCAACCTGATCTAACCTGCACAAGTTTTAAAAAATCAGATTACTTGTTAAAACAAACAGCACCACCACTTTATACATGGAGATGAAATAGACAAGTTACAAAATGTAAACAAGAGACAAGTACATAGCAATAATAAGTTCACAAAAAAAGTAAAAGGAATTTTGCAAGCAGAATACTCAAATCTTTCTAGTCAATATAACAAGATGATAATGTCAACTTACGGTCATCTTGGGCACTTCATAGAATCTGTTGTCATCAGTGACAGTGCCAACAACAGTGATAATCTTGCCAGCGGCGGGTGGGCTTGTTGGCCAGCTCAGATACCTTGGACAAGGCAATGGGGGCCTATGTACGCGGGGCATGAACAATCTCTTCATGATAATTTTGTTGAACTTGGAGTTGGTGCGCCTTGCCAGGAAGCGGTAGAGCTGAAAGAATAAATATTGAGTTAAGCTAATTGTCATAGATC